TGGGTAGGCTGGGTCTGAGACTCAGTTTCAGGTTCTAATAGTCATCCAAGGCAGCATTTTCTTATACATTTAACTGCTCCATGATGAATTTACATAATATGGCACCTTGCTCTGAAAACAAGACACCATATTAAATCTGGCCAGCTCTAGCCTGCCCAATCTCAGCATCATTTTTGGCCACTGACACATGAAGAGCCTGTGTTCTCAGCATTCCATGGGCATTTAATTTATTGCATTGGCCATTTTTGTAATTTCCCCCCACTAACATAGTCCATTTTTTAACAATTTATTTATTTTAAATTTATTTATTTTTGGCTGCGTTGGGTCTTTGTTGCTGCTCGCGGGCTTTCTCTAGTTGCGGTGAGCAGGGGCCACTCTTCATTGTGGTGCGCGGGCTTCTCATTGCAGTGGCCTCTCTTGTTGCAGAGCACGGGCTCTAGGCGCACAGGCCTCAGCAGTTGCAGCATGTGGGCTCAGTAGTTGTGGTTCGCAGGCTCTAGAGCACAGGCTCAGTAGCTGTGGCACACGGGGTCAGTTGCTCTGCGGCATGTGGGGTCCTCCTGGACCAGGGCTCGAACCCGTGTCCCCTGCATTGGCAGGCAGACTCCCAACCACTGCACCACCAGGGAAGCCCCATGGTCCATTTTTAATAATGCCTTTTTTGAGATGTAAAATTCATAAAATTCACCCATTTAAAGTATATAATTCAGTGTTTCTTAGTACATTCACAGAGTTATACGACAATCAGCATAGTCAATTTTAGAACATTTTCATCACCTCAAAAAGAAACCTGTTCCCATTAGCTGTCACTCCGCATTTCTCACCTTCCTCCTCAGCTCTAGGCAACCATTAATCTACTTTCTGTCTCTACAGATCTGACTGTTCTCTGGACATATCATATAAATGGAATCAGACACTATGTAGTCCTTTGTGACTGGCTTCTTTCACTTAGCATGATGTTTTCAAGGTTTCATCTATGATGTGGCACACACCAGTACTGCATTTCTTTTTGTTGCCAAATAGTATTCTGTTGTATGGATACACCACACTTTGTTTATCCATTTGTCACTTGGTAGGCATTTGAGTTGTTTCCACGTTTGGGCTATTATGACTATGAACGTTCATGTATAAGTTTTTGTGTCAACATATTCTTTTATTTCTCTTGGGTATATACCTAGGAGTGGAATTGCTGTCTCATATGATAACTCTTTTAATCTTTTGAGAAACTGCCAGACTGTTTTCCAAAGGGGCTGCACCATTTTACATTCCCATCAGCAGTGTATGAGTGTTTCAATGTCTCCACATTCTCACCAACACTTGTTTTTACTCGTCTTTTTTGTTATAGCCACATCCTAATGGGTGTGAGGTAGTATCTCACCCTGGGTTTGATTTGTGTTTCCTTGATGGTTAATGATGTTGAGCAGCTTTTCATGTGCTTACTGGCCGTTTTTACATCTTCTTTGGAGAAATGTCTATTCAGACCCATTGCCCATTTTTATATTCTGTTATTTGTCTTGTATTTTGAGTGTAGGAGATCTTTAAGTATTCTGCATACTCGATCCTTCTCAGACATATGATTTGCAAAAACTTTCTCCCAAACTGTGGGTTGTCCTTTTACTTCACAGTTTCCTTTGAAGCACAAACATTTTCAAGTTTGATGAAGTCCAATTTATTTATTTTTTTCTTTTGTTGCTTATTGTTTTAGTATCATATCTAAGAGACCATTGCTTAATCCAGGTCACAGAGATTTATGCCTATGTTTTCTTCCAAAAGTTTTATAGTTTTAGCTCTTACATTTAGGTCTTTGATTTATTTTGAGTTAATTCTTGTATATCATGTGAGTTCATATGCTGTTTTTGAAAACAAGTTAAAATGATAAATAATCATGAGTTTAAAAAATATACAACTGTCTTTGGTTTTAATTGAAAATCACGTTATAGTTCACTAAATGCACCATTTGATAGAATGAAAATAAACTAATGAGGCTGATACTCTCAGTATTTACTTTAAAAATCCAATAAGCTAAGAATTGTTAGAAAAGGCCTTACACGTTTTTGTTTTTTAAAAGTCAACTGCTTTCAATAAAGATAAATGAAACTATATTTTAACACGCCATCTAAGTAATATTTTAAAAATACATTAAAAACATCTTCACTCCCCTATTAGAATGATATGGGCTTCAGTTTTAACACTGAAATGGTTCTCAATCAGGGGCGATTTTGCACCCCTACTGGGGATATCTGGCGATATTTGGAGACATTTTGGCTGTCAGAACTTAGGAGGGGGGTGGTGCTACCGGCATCCATTAGACAGAGGACAGAGATGCTGCTAAGCAGCCAAGAATGCATAGAACAAGCCGCATGACAAGGAATCATCCAGCCCCAAATACCTCTTGTGCTGACATTGAAAACCCTACTTTCCCCGCCCCCAGTTTTATTGAGATATAATTGGCATACAGCACGGTAGAAGTTTAAGGTGTACAGCATAAAGACTTGACTTACATACATCATGAAATGATTACCAGTTTAGTGAACATCCATTATCTCATGTATATACAAAAAAAAGAAAAAAGAAAAAAATGTGAAAAACCCTACTTTGAATCAGTGGCCTCTATCAGATATATTCAAAACGAGATGTGAGTTTGCAAACCCTTTTCCCCTCAGTTACAACCTCATGGGTTTCTCCCATCACAATACTGAGCCTTTCGGAAGTCAGAATGTGCCCCAGCACCTCACTGCCATCAAAATCCTTTATGGTGACAAAAATCTCTCAGGTCTTCCCTGTGGGGATCATTGGGAAAACACTTGCTCTCCATGCTTAATTCATTTTATATTTGTATGTGTTCCTTTTTTGAATTTTAAGATATATTGGGATAACACATCCCCTGTCCAACATACATATTTGGGTAACCAACCTCCTGGTATAAGGTGTTTTATCTGATTTTAGAACAGCGACAATAGTCAATAATAATTTATGTGCTCACTGTATCAGGCACTGTGCTAAGCACTCTTCTGCACTATCTAATTTACTTTTCTCAACAATTCTGAGAGAGTGACTGTTGTTATTCACATTTTACAGCCAGAGAAATGGAGAAATGGTGTGATTTGCCCAAGATCATGTTGCTGGAGACATCATTACTCCAAGTCAGGGCTTAAGCCTGGTGTGGGGTTAACTGTGACATGCTGGCGTGTCACAAAGGATTTGATTACTTATTATGGGTAATCACAGATGGACATTTGCCGACATTTAGGCTGTGCCCTCACTCAACTGGGCTACAGTAGATGTACTTTCACTGAATGGACACACACTAGTAGCCACAGGAAATCCTGTCTCACCTGGGACATACCTGTGGAAATGTGGCTCATCTGTGGACCATCAGCCATCCTTCATATCACGGTGGACAGTGTCTGAGGACTGCTGCTTACGGAAAACTAGGGTATCTGTGGCACCATGTATGTTCTTGACACTCATCCACAAATCAGTCACGGCTTGATTTTCTACCTATTGGCCGTCCTCTCATAATGTGTTCCAGCTCCCAAATGTCCCTCCTGACTTGTGGCCTAAATGCATTTGCACATACACCAGCCCCACTCTCCGAGCCCCTGTGTGTACCGATCAGTGTGCTAGGCCCTGCTCACCTCAGCTCTCCCAGAGTTGGGCTCACACTCCAGTCTCCTGATCTTGCACCCACCACTCTTAGTGGAACAGCACAGTGGTAAACTATCTTGTAAAAAGAACAAAAAACAAAAGAAAATCATACTGCAGTCAAACAGTAGCATTTCCCTCCCAAGCTTTGTCCTTCTATGTGCCAGGCACAGAGCTCTCTTCATATAGCTGATAGTATTCCCCTCTCAGAGGGGGCTTTTAGGAAAGGATTTGAAGTGTGAGTGAGTGAGTGAAGATATGCATTTTGCTGGTACAAAGATTGGAGACGGAACGGCTCTCCAATTTAGCCATTTTGGGGGTGCAGCAAGAAGTGAGGTGAGATTCTGCTCACATCAGCCTTCCCAATATCCTCCTGACCTCCCCGAATGAAGGGGAGTGGGGAGAGAGCAATGATCGAACTAGAAGATTGCCCTCTTCCCCCAAATCTGACGAAGGACCCTGGTTTTGGTTCTAGATTAGGGCAAGTCTTTCTTTGCTCTTGGCCTCAGTTTCCTCTTGAAGGGAGCATGTGTACACTGGATGACCTCTAAGCATCCTGGCAACCGTAAACTTCTTTGAATCTCTACAATACTGAGTTAAAGTGAAGTCCATGTGATTCAAATCCACCCTGATTAGGAATTTGCTTTAGTAGTGAGCCCACACCTAGAAGCCTGTCCATGTTTGAAGAAGAGAACACAGTGATTGGTTGATGCTATCTTTCTTGAGAGACCCATCTCCACGGGCAACGTTCAAAATATTTAACAGCCAGCATGCATGAGCACGACAGGCAGGAGGGTAGAAAGCAGCTGGTAGGGCCAACCAGGGCTGCAGCCTGACAGCATGCCTGGCCCTTCCTGCAGTCCTGCCCAGCTTTCTCTGCTTGTTTTTTGGGTCTGCCTCTTCCTGCCTGATTCTGCATCCAGGGCCCTAACTCAAACCCCCTGGGCTGCTTCTCCCAACCACTTTCTACACAACGGCTGTAAATACCCTGATGCATCCAAACACCAACTTAATCCTATTTCTCCCTCAGCAGATGCTCTTGGAGCCCTCCGCTGTGCTCAGCCCCTGGTCAGCTGACCCCTCACCCCCTTGCCTTTAAAAAAATGTTAGAGGCTGTGAAACAGGTATGGTTAAGAGACCTGAGTCCTAGCCTAGCTCTGCCCCTGTCTGCCAGTGACCTTGGGCAAGCCTCTGCCCCTCCCATGTTGTTAGTTTCCTTACATGTAAATGAGCGACTTAATTGAGCTCCCCGTTTTTCAGTGGAGTTTCTGGAGGAATGCAAGTCTTCAGCAGCTGACTGCTCTCTCTCTTTCTCTCTCTCTCTCTGTGCACCTGCCCCGCAACTGCCACTGTAGAATGCACTGCTGCCTGCGGGCCTGAGGCAGAAGGATCAGACCACCAAGGCGCCCACGGGCCCCTTTAAAAGGGAGGAGCTCTTGGATCACTTGGAAAAGCAAGCAAAGGAGTTTAAGGACCGAGAAGATCTGGTCCCCTACACAGGGGAGAAGCGAGGTACTGAACAATGTTGCACTTTTGAGTACGTCATTCCCCATGATCATTGAGTGCCAGCTGTATGCCAGGCCCTGTGTTGGGCCAGATGTGACTGGACCTCCTTGCCCTCATCCCTGCCTGGCCCAAAGTCACAAACCCAACTCCAAAAGCATTGGCGCATGGGGTAGATTTAGTGAAGTTTTGGGGTAAACCAGACCCGTAACACTTACCCCTAAGTCCCCTTTAACTAGGGTGTCCTGATTATTTTTCATACAAACCTGATACTGTCAAAAGGGAAAGAAGGAACTATTAAAATGGTATCAGGACATGAGGCCCAAACAAGGCCTGTCCCCTCCAAACCAGGAACAAGAGATATCCTGTCTCTACCCTAATTATCCCTTCTTTTCCCCCAAAGTTCCTCTCTCTGGCAGCTGCAGCTTCCCTTCCTTCATCTGCCCCTCTAAGACTCTCTGCCCCAGACTAAGGCAAGCCATCTAGAAGGCTCTGGGGAACAGAGAGGCACTCCAACTATCCAACCCTTCCAGAACTTTCCCTATACTCCACATCATCCTCCTGTCCTCTAGTATCATGCTTACCCTTGCTCACTGCCCTGCTGCCCCACAGGCCTCTTTCTCTTCCCCAAATACTCCAAGCTCTTTCCTACCTCAGGACCTTTGCACGTATGCCCTCTGCATGGAATGCTGGTCCTCTGTCCGCCTCCAAGCTGGCTTCAGGGCTGGCTTCTCTCCTCTGTAAGAGGCGTAATGGTTAGAAACATAGCCTGGAGTTGGGTCTACTTTGGCTACAGTCTTGGCACTACCCCTTACTAGGCTGTGTGAACTCAAGTACATTTGTTTGTTTGGCCATGCCACATGGCTTACAGGATCTTAGTCCCCGACGAGGGATTGAATCTGTGCCCCCTGCAGTGGAAGTGCAGAGTCTTAACCACTGGACCGCCAGGGAATTCCCTTGAGTACATTTTTAAACCTGCTGTGCCTCCATTTCCTCGTCTGTAAAATGGGGTTGATGAATATTACCAGCCTTCTGAGGGAGTTATGAAGATTGAGTTAAGATCTATATAAAGCACTTAAAACAGCACCCAGTGCATCATGAATGCTATGTCAATATTAGCTATTGTTACCCTTTTGGTCTCAACTGTACTGTCTCCTCTTTCAGGAAAGCCTTTCCTGTCTACACTGTTTAGGACATTCCATCCCTTCAACTCCCCGTTGGTTATTCTCCATCTCGGGAGCCTGTGTGTGTTCTTCAGAGCAATTCTTATTTTATCATTATGTATTTATTTACACTGGCCTGTAAGCTCCATGAGTCAGGGACTCCGCTGCTTTTGCTTACACAGTTCCCCCAGCACCCAGCACAGGGCCTAGTGTACAGTAGGGCTCAGGAGAGAGGTGTTGAATGAATGAATGAGTTCAAATTAAATATATGCATAATGGATCTTACAGGCTTTTTCCTTCAAATATAAACTCCATGGGTACAAGTACCACATCTGTCTAGTTCATTGTTATATCCCTATACCTCAAAAACCCTAGCATGTAGTAGGCACCTAGTAAAATATTCGTTGAATGAAAGCATTAATTCTAATTAATTGGGTAATTGTCTGTGTTCCACCTCTTCCATTCTCCTCACCCCCAAGAATGTCGGCATGAGGAGCCAAGGATCCCTGTCTGTGGCATGTATTTCTGTGTCCCTGTTGTATTAGCACAGTGCTGCACAGAGTAGCTGCCTGATAAATAATAAAATAAAAGAGCAAGCAGGAGTGGGCATTTCAGGGAGGACTTCTAGCCATCCCAGAGCCTGGAATTGAAGCTCAGTCCAGATTTTACTGAAAACTTGGAAGGTCAGGGAAGCCCAGGAGACATCTGGATTACAGAGCTTTGGAAGAATTGTGTGGTCTGAGGCACCCTAGCGCTGGTGGCAGGGCAAGGGGCCCTTGACCATAAGGGCTGGGTGTGCCTGGCTGAGAGCGTAGGCACAAGATGGTTTTAAGCAAGGTACTTGTACCATGAGGAGTGATTTCTGTGCAGCAGGTAAAGGTAATAAAATCTCTGGATTTCATGGGGCCTTAAAACTCCCACTATCCCCAATACACATTTGAAAAATGGGGAAACCAAGGCTGTGAGAGAGTCAGCAGCAGACCTGAGTGGACAGTTAGTTGGTGAGTCATTAGTGACATCTGCTACCTGTGTGCCCATCCCCCTCCCAGGGGAGGAGCTGGAAATGAGATGGGGGATGGGGAAGGGAATCTAAGTGATATATAAACCAGTCCTGCTGCCCCTTCGCAGAGTGCTGGCCTGGCCCCAAGCCGGGAACAGCTCTCCAGACTCCCAGAGCCTGAGTGCCCTCATGAAAAACCAGGCTGACCCAAGGAGGGTAGCTAGAATTTATTCTATTTTCATATTATGACAAGCCTAAAAGGTTTATCATCATCACCACCACCACCAGCATCGTCATCATAAAATATTTACATGATGATTGTTGGAGTCCATGTATATTGAATAAGTACAGTCTCAACAGAGAGCATGGGGAAGGAGACCTTCCAGCTCTAACAGGCAGATGCAGGGCCGTTCAGTCCAGCTCTACTGAGCGCTTGCCCCACGCTGGGCCTAGAGCGAGCCTAGGCTGAGGGGAAATAGCATTTCAGGCACTACAAAACCCAGCAGGATGTGGTAAGACCCATAAACTGGTGCAAAGTCCTGAGGAATCTGGATTTTCCCTCACTCTCATTCAAGTGGGGGAATCAGAATAAAGTTCCATGCAGGGTATTTTCATTATACAGATTTGGCTGCATGTGCTGAAGGAACAAGTAAAATAAGAGAGACTTAAAATGGAAGTTTAGTTTTCTTTCACTTAGTAGAGCTGCAGGGTTAGGCATTCCAGGGCTTGTAAGACATCTTCCTTGGCATTAGGAATCAAGACCTTTTCCAGTTTTTCATTCTGCCATCCTTGTAATATATTCTTGTCCTCATGGTCCACCTAGCTGCTGAGGCTCCAGTCATTACACCCACATCCCAACTAGTAAGATGAAGGAAGGGAAGACGTCTGAGTCCCTCTTATAATGTCTTAGAGTCACCACCCTCATTGAGGCATCTGCTGCAGGGGCATAATAAACCATAGGTCTTAAATATTTACTGAATGTTCATCCTAGTCACTGCATCAGTCATTTTCACAGTTCATTTTCCTTTTAGTCATTTCATTTTCTTTTTAGCCATTTTGATTTGCTGTTTTCCACATGCACCTCTGGTGAAGGTTATGATACATTTTCTCCCAGATGATTTTGCTGACTGTTCTGCTTGTATAGTAATTGATCTTTGCTGTAAACTATGTATTTATTTATTTATTTATTTAATAAATTTATTTGTTTATTTTTTGGCTGCGTTGGGTCTTCGTTGCTTCACACGGGCTTTCTCTAGTTGTGGCGAGCAGGGGCTACTCTTTGTTGCGGTGAGCGGCCTTCTCCTTGCAGTGGCTTCTCTTGTTGCAGAGCACGGGCTCTAGGCACGCAGCCTTCAGTAGTTGTGGCACACAGGCTCAGTGGTGTGGCTTGCAGGCTCTAGAGCGCAGGCTCAGTAGTTGTGGTGCACGGGCTTAGTTGCTCCGTGGCATGTGGGATCTTCCCAGACCGGGGCTTGAACCCGTGTCCCCTGCACTGGCAGGTGGATTCTTAACCACTGCACCACCAGGGAAGCCCCTGTAAACAATCTAAATAACTAAACAAAGTAATACTCTCTGCTGAGAGGTAGGCACTGATCCCATTTTAGTGAACATCCTTCTGAACATTGCTCTTCCCACCCCTCCCCACCTCTGGTCCAAGTCACTGTCATCTCTCATGTGGACTTCTGAAGGAGCCTCCTAACCATCTCCTGGCTTCTGTCCTGACCCCACTTCAGGCTATTCTCAATCAGTAGCCAAAATTAGCAGGTTTTTAAAAATTGAAGTAAAATTCACATAACATAAAGTTAAGTATTTTCAAGTGAACAATTCAGTGGCATTTAGTACACACACGATGTTGTGCAACTACCATCTCTATCTAGATCCAAAACATTTTCATCACTCCAAAATAAAACCCTGTACCCAATAAGCAGTTACTCCCCATGCCCCTCGCTCCCAACCCCTGGCAACCACCAATCTGCTTCTATGGATTTACCTATTCTGGGTATCTCCTATAAATTAAATCATATAATATGTGACTTTGCGTGTCTGGCTTCTTTCACTTAGAATATTATTTTCGAGACTCATTCATTCCCTTTTATTACTGAATAATATTCCACAATTTGTCTGTTGACAAACATTTTGGTTGTTTCCACTTTTTGGCTCTTGTGATTAGTGGTGCTGTGAATATTCCTATACAAGTATTTGTCTGGGTAACTTTTAGGTATATACCTAGGAGTGGAATTGCTGGATCATATGGTAATTCTGTGTTTAATTTTTTGAAGAACTGCCGAACAGTTTTCCCAAGCAACTGCACCCTTTTACATTCCCATCAGCAATATATGAGGGTTCCAATTTCTCCACATCCTTGCCAACATTTGTTATTTTCCATTTTGGTTTTTGGTTTATGTTATAGCCATTATCATGGTTGTGAAGTGGTATCTCATTGTGGTTTTGATTTGCATTTGTCTAATGACCAGTGATGTTGAGCATCTTGTCATGTGCTTGGCCATCTGTACAGTTGACTCTCCATATCCGCAGGTTCCAATCCGCGGATTCACCCAACTGTGGATCAAAAATATTCAGAAAAATTCCGCACAGTTTAAAAAGGCAAAACTTGAATTTGCCGCGCACTGGCAACTATTTACATAGAATTCACATTGTATTAGGTATTATACATAACCTAGAGATGATCTAAAGTATACAGGAGGACGTGTGTAGGTTATATGCAAATACTATACCATTTTATATAAGGGACCTGAGCATCCAATCCCCCTCAGAGGCAATTGTATATCTTCTTTGGAGAAATGTCTATAAGCCCTTTGCCCATTTTTAAATTGGGTTGTTTTTCTTTTTGTTGTTGAGTTGTGAAAGTTCTTTATATATTCTGAATACTAGACCCTATCAGGTATATGATTTGTAAATATTTTCTCCTCTTCTGTATGCTATCTTTCCACTTTCTTGATAATGTCCTTTGATACACAAAAGTTTTATTTTGGTTAAGTTCAATTGATCTATTTTTCTTTAGTTGCTTATTCTTTTGTTGTCATATCTAGGAATACTTTGCCAAATCTAAGGTCATAAAGATTTACGCTTATGTTTTCTTCTAAGAATTTTATAGTTTTAGGTATTATATTTAAATCATTGATCCATTTCCAGTTGGTTTTTGTGTGTGGTATGAGATAGCGGTCCAGCTTTATCTTTCTGCATGTGGATATCCAGTTGTCCCACACCACTTCTTGAAGAAACTATTCTTTCCCCATTCAATGGACTTGGCACCCTTGTCAAAAATCAATTTGCCATAGATGTATAGGTTTATTTCTGGACTCTCAATTCTATTCCATTTTTTTATATGTCTATCCTTATGTCAGTGTCACACTGTTTAACTTTGTAGTAAGTTTTGAAATCAGGAAGTCTGAGTCCTCCAACTTTGTTCTTTATCAAGATTGTTTTGGTTATTTGGAGCCCCTTACAATTCCATATGAATTTGAGGACTGGCTTTTCCATTTCCAAAAAAAAAAGGAGGAGGACCATTGGAATTTTGATAAGGATGGCATTGAATCTGTAGATTGCTTTGGGCAATATTGCCATTTTAATATTGTCTTCCAATCCACGAACTTGGGATATCTTTCTGTTTATTTAGGTCTTCTTTCATTTCTTTCAACAATGTTTTATAGTGTTCCATGCACAAGTCTGTCACCTCCTTGGTTAAATTTATTCCTACGTATTTTATTCTTTTGGATTGTACTGTAGATGAAATTATTTTCCTAATTTCCCTCTCAGATTGTTATTTGCTGGTGTACCCCACTTATTTGTATATGTTAATCTTGTACCCTGTTTTTGTGTGTGTGTGTGGAACATTTTCTGCATATAACATCATGTCATCTGCGAATAGAGATCATTTTACGTCTTCCTTTCCAGTCTGGATGCCATGTATTTCTTTTTCTTGTCCATTTGCTCTGACTAGAACTTTCAATACACAGTTGGGTAGGAGCAATGAAAGCAGGCATCCTTGTCTTGTCGCTGGTCTGAGGAGCTCATTTCCTCACTCTGTCAGGGCCCAGCTCACAGGTCATTTTCCCTGACCACGCTACCCAAGATAGCAGAGCCCACCTCACCCACACCCCAGCCTGGAACTTCCTAGTCTTTTGCTTGGCTTTATTTTCCTTTGTGATTCTTAGTACTCTCTGGTATCTTTACATGTTTGTTTATTATCTGTCTTCTTTCACTAAACTGTACACTGTTCACTGCTGTCCCCCTAGCGCCAAGAAAGGTGCTGGGGGGCTTCCCTAGTGACGCAGTGGTTGAGAGTCCGCCTGCCGATGCAGGGGACACGGGTTCGTGCCCCGGTCTGGGAAGATCCCACATGCCGCGGAGTGGCTGGGCCCGTGAGCCACGGCCGCTGAGCCTGAGCGTCCGGAGCCTGTGCTCCTCAACGGGAGAGGCCACAACAGTGAGAGGCCCGCGTACTGCAAAAAAATAAATAAATAAATAAAAAGAAGAAAGGTGCTGGGCACATAGGAAGTATTCAGTAAATATGTGTTGCATGGATAAATATGTATTGATATATGTGCAGTTTTTCATAAATGGAATTAAATAATTCATGCTATTTTGTAAACTTGCTTTTTCCCACAGGATTTTGTCTTGGGCATTTTCCTTTCATAGTAAGTAGAGATCTCCACCATCCTTTATAATAATAACTGCCAGAACACCATTGTATGGATGCCCCATAATTTCTTTAACAATCCCTCTTGGTGCACACTGCAGCGACCGACCAACCTCTTTGCTCTTTGCTCTCTCGTTCAATTATGAGTCTGACATTGTAAAAATATAGTGTCCCAAGAGACATTATATTTTCTCCGTATGCCTCTTTTAATAATCTGAGTTATTTTATTTATTTGGTTTAGAAATGTTTCTAAATTTTTCTCTCATACCAGAATGCTTGTTTAGAGTATTCCAGACCCTAGCATTTTATTATATTTTTCTTTTGTATCTTTTCCTACTTACAGATTGTTAAAATTAATAACCAATGTTTTCAGTAGTGAGCAGTCGCCCTTGACCAAGTTATAAAGTTCTTCTTTTCAAACGTGAAGGGTGCTTTGTTGGAGATCTCTGATTCCCTTTCTTTGGACAAGTTTGGCACCGGGTCCCCAGAGGGAGAAGTTTTAATGGAATCTCGGCATCAAGGGATCCACAGGGCTTTGGGACAGTCCACCCAGGGCTCCAGTGCAGCTGCACTCCCTGTAATGGGCACCCCGTGTGTTTTCAGGAAAAGTCTGGGTCCCCAAGCAGAAGCCGATGGACCCCGTGCTGGAAAGTGTGACACTGGAGCCAGAGCTGGAGGAGGCCCTGGCAAATGCCTCGGATGCGGAACTCTGTGACATCGCAGGTAAGAGGCGTTCCTGATGCTTCCCCACGTCCTCCAAAAGCGTTTGACCCACGTCTGCAGGCGAGCCTTGGATGGTTTATTTCAACATAAACACCCTCTCTGTTTCTAACAAGGACTAGAGGAGATAGAACTCTATTATTAAAAACCGAAATGAGTAAAACGGAGATAAAACCAAAACCCTTCCCACCACGGAGCCAGCTGTTGCTGCCATGAGACCCCATCCCAGAGCGTTGTGCAAGGGAGCCTGGGCCCTTCACCAGCCATGGCATCAAATCCTGCTCAGGCCGCCTGGGAAGTGAGGGTAGAGTGGGGAAGACAGAGGGCTGCCAGCATCTCAGGTCCAGGAGGCTCACAGAGGGCTGGAGCAAGTCATCTGATTTTACCATTTTGCACAGCTTGGAGAGCCGGGCTTGGAGGCGATCACCCCATATCTCATATTTGTACAACACCCTCCATCTTCATGTGTGTTTCCATGTGATCTTCACAAACAGCCCCTAAAACTCCAGAAGGTGGCCTGATATCCAGAGCTTTTTGCCACCTGCTCTTTCCCCCTTTTTACTGTCTGATCCCCGTCCCACTCGCCCATGTCCCTTCTCCACGGGGGGTCAGGCTCTGGCCACAGTGTGCCCACCACCATGCTGTGCTCCCTGGCCCAGTGAGGTAGCTGGTCTTTTTCTTTTGCAGCCTTGGGGGCTACTAACCCTCACCCAGATGATGACAGGAGTATGGATGGGGTAGGGAGAGACTCAAGGCAAGTGGGAAGGGGAGAGGAAAGACAGGGTCAACTGTGAGGTCAAGGGAGGAGCCCAGACCTGGCTCCAGAGACTAAGTGGACGTTGGTGCCATTAATGAAGGTGCGTTAGTCTGCTCAGGCTGCCCTAACGAAATACCACAGGCTGGTGGCTTAAATAACAGAAATGTATTTTCTCAATAGTTCTGGAGGTTAGATGTCCAAGATCAAGGTGTCCACAGTCTTGGTTTCCTCTGAGCCCTATCTCCTTGATTCCAGATGACCGTATCTCATGGTGTCCCTCTGTGCAATGTGTCCCCTTGTGTCCCTTTGTGTGTCCTAATCTCCTTCTTGTAAGTACACCAGACAGATTGGATTAGGACCCACCCAAACAGGCTCATTGACACTTAATCACTTCTTTAAAGACCTTATCTCCAAATATAGTTACAAATTCTAAGGTACTAGAAATTACTTTATTCAACATATTGGAGGGACAAATCAGGACAAAATCAACAATTTTGGACGGACACAGTTCAACCATAACAGTGGGGAGGAGAAGGTGTAGGGGAAATACGGAGCTCAGTTTGGGACCTTTAGAGTCCAGGATGCCTGTGGGCCACCCAATCAAGGGCAGTTGTACACGAAAGGCTTTATTTTTAAAAGTATTTATTTATTTTTGGCTGCATTGAGTCTTCGTTGCTGTGCGCGGGCTTTCTCTAGTTGCAGAGAGCGGGGGCTACTCTTCGTTGCAGTGCTCGGGCTTCTCACTGCGGTGGCTTCACTTGCTGCAGAGCACAGGCTCTAGGCACGCGGGCTTCAGTAGTCGTGGCTTGTAGGCTCTAGAGTGCAGGCTCAGTAGCTGTGGCACACGGGCTTAGTTACTCCACAGCATGTGGGATCTTCCCGAACCAGGGCTTGAACCCATGTCCCCTGCAATGGCAGGTGGATTCTTAACCACTGCGCCACCAGGGAAGTCCCTACATGAAAGTCTTGAGTTCTACAAGGGGTCCACACTGGAGATAGAGAGGTGGGTGTCATTAACATCATCAAGTTCCAGGCAGAGGGCCTGGCAGTAGTGGGGACCCGGGGCTCTGGAGGCAAGGGCCCTGGCCGAGGTAGAAGCCTTTGGGAGAGGAGTGGAAATGGGGTGAACATAGCCACAGTGGAGGCCAGGTGGAGGCAGTGGAGGCAGTGGAGGCCACATGGGCTGGGAACCAACGGCCAAATCAAGATGGGCAGAGCCTAACTCAAGAGCTAGGGAGACAGAATGAGGGTTCAGGGCTGGCCGGGAGACTCAGAGGTGAAGCCAGAGGCCAGGTGAGCCCGCCAGTGCCAGGAAACTCAGCCGGCCGCAGTGTCTTCTGCTTCTCACATTCTCCTGCTTCTTGTGGCTGTTGTGCACCAGCCCTGATGACATTCTTAGCAAAGAGGAAGAAGGGGCACCAAAGCCAGGTTGCAGGGCCCAAGGAGTGAAAAAGGAGAGCCAATGTGTAGACCCTCGGTCCAGACAACCCTTTGCTAAGGAGGCAGAACATTTGGGAAAGGACAAAGGGCAGTGGCTTAAAGGGTGTCAGGGCTGAGAGAGAACGGTGTTCGTTTTCACTATGAAGTACATAGCAGTGAGGAGGTCACCTGGATGGAAATGGAGCACTTAGCTCAGGATACTCAGCTGGTTCGCTCGTCAGAAACCACACAAGTTGCATTAGATCCACATTAGGCTTGGGCATTTTGACGGAACCGTCTCCCCGAAGTGGGGTCCCCTTGAGTTCCCGTTAGTCTCTGCAGCTGGGCGGTGGGTGAGTGCCATTGTTGTCCAGCATCTCCTCACTGACTCACCCCAAGGGCTGCTTTTATCCTGGTCCTTCTCTGATTACCCTCCACGACGTCACTCCCCTTGTTAGGCAGCTCAGAGGGATTATCAAATGACTCTGCTGTCAGTGCCAAAATAGAGCCGCAATGTTGTGCTAAATTTCTGGGTTGATATCTTGAAACTACTCCTCTTTATTTTTATTGGCATGACTAATTATTAGTATCTGTTCATGATACCATACGCTTCCGCTGTCCGGAAAGGACAGGGGTGCTGCGAGGCGACACCAGTGTTCACTGGCTAACCTTGGACACGTGTCGTTGTATGTCAGCCGTTTGCAAGGTGGCAGTGGAAGGAGGCGTGGAACATTTGTTGACCACCTATGTCCCAGCTGCTGTGGGAGTTGCTTTCCATACCTTGCTGCATTTGTTGACCACAGCAATCCTATGAAGTGAGTTTTATTGATGTCCCCATTTTTCAGAGAGGGGAAGTCGGCACAGTGAGGTTATCCTTGCCCACGGGGTTTGAACTCCCAGGCAGCTTGGTCCCACTCACAGCGTCACCACCCATCACAACCTGGATAAAGCCCTCCAGGGTAGGGTAATGGAAACAGAGTGGTGAGAGGGGGTGCATGGCAGAGTCTCACGGAGTCGGCCTGGGGAGGATGCGGCCGAATTAGGAAAGGCTCTGGATGTCACGCAAAAGCATTGACATCCGGGCCTGGGGGAGTGTTGGAAGAGGCCGGATGAAAGCAGGGGCTTGGGCAGAGAGGCGGTGGTGTTTGGAGGACGAGGGGATGTAGGAGGCAGGCCCCAGGTAAGGCCAAGGGCTGAGGTGGACTGCGTCTGGAACGTGGCTCCGAGAGACCAGCTGTTCCTACAGCTGGGTCAGAGGCCAAGAGGCTGAGATGACAAGACGACGGCAGGCTTTCTGGCCTGAGGCATCAGAAAACAGAGCTGGGTGCCTGCAAGGATGCAAGGAGTCAGTCAGTTTGAGAGATGGAGGCGCTGCAGGCAGGACATCTTGTCGGAGTGCTGGGTGTGTTGGTGGGGAGTAGCTGGAGCCCCGAGTGGATGACTCAT